TGTGTGTGAGGGTGCTGTTTGTAAAGGAACTGGTAGTTTACTGTGTGTGTGTGTGAGAGGGTGTTTGTGTGTGTGCGTGTTTGTTCGGGTCCTGTTAGTGTGCTGTTTGTGTGCGGGTGTTGTGTGTTTGTCAGGGTGCTGTTTGTATGAGAGTGTGCTGTTTGTGTGTGGGTGCTGTGCGGGTGTTGTGTGTGGGTTTTGTGTGTTTGTGAGGATGCTGTTAGTGTGCTGGGTGTGTGTGGGTGCTGTGTGTGCGAGGGTGATGTATGTGTGTAGGTGCTGTGTGTGTGTGTGGTTGGGTGCTGTTTGTGGGCTGTGTGTGCTGTATGTTTGGGTGGAGGTGGGGGCAGACTAGTTAATATCCCATCAAGGAGCAGAAAGGGGCAGCAAGGAGCTGGAAGGGACAGCAAGGAGCACAAAAAGTAAAGTAGGAGAAGGAGCACAAAGGAACAGAAATGAACAGGAAGGGTCGGCAAGGAGCTGGAAGGTAAAGCAGCACAAAGGTAAAGTAGAAGGAGCAGAAAGGGTCAGAAATGAGCTGGAAGGGGCAGAAGGAGCACAAAGGTAAAGTAGGAGAATGAGCAGGAAGGGCCTGCAAGGAGCAGAAAGGTAAAGGAGCAGAAAGAATCAGAAGGAGCACAAAGGTAAAGTAGGAGAAAGAGCAGAAAGGGACAGCAGAAAGTAGCAGAAAGGTAAAAGAGCAGAAGGGGCCAAGGATAGAAAACAGTGCCAGAAGAAAAAAAAAGACTGTCAAATGAAGGAGAGGAAAAGGAGATTGGAGCAGGAAGGACAAATTTTAACTATAAGTGGGATAGGCATAAGGCTATCCTAACTATAAGATAAGACTAGGGAGTAATGAAAGTATTTAGAAAATTGGGCAGACTAGATGGGCCGAATGGTTCTTATCTGCCGTCACATTCTATGTTTCTATGTGTTTCTATGAAGTGAACCCTCCACTTTATTCTGGACACCACATCATAAGGCTTTGGTACCTGGGCCAGGCAGGGAAACGCTGGACCTTCTCATCTCCAAAGGTAAAAAATTATCAGTATTAATGTGTTCACTTTTATTTACTGAGTGTCAGGAAGCACAGAGTGCCGTTGGGTAGGGGTGTTGCTGATTGGCTAGAGCGGTCAGCTGGCACTCTAAGCCAATCAGTAGCTCCCCATTCATAAAAAAGTAAAAATATTTTATGAACCGGGAAGTAGCGATTGGCTTAGAGCGTCAACTGTCCACTCTAGCCAATCAGCGGCACCCATGCCTGATGTCAATCTTCCTGACACTCTGTTTCAGAAGCCAAATACCACTGAGCGACCTGGAGCTGGAGGAAGCCTTTGGGGTTAAACCATCAGAGAGCGATTTAACCCCTTAAAGGAAAGCAAGCACCCAGGGGCTTCCTGACATCATAGCATTTTCATTTAGGTGAAGTTGTTATGGTGACCAGAATGGTCCTTTAATTTGCTTAAAGGAACACTATAGTGTCAGGAATACAAACATATATTCCTGACACCATAGTTGTGAAAACACTATTCACCCTGGCTTTATGTGATAATGGCTATGCCCCTTCCCTTTCATGACACTGTCAAAAAGGTACCAAGCATGGATGTCATTACAATTATGCCCCCCCCCTGGAAAAATTCCTGCGGACGCCCATGGCCCAAACCCTCCTTCCTACACCATGACCTTAGCCACACATTAACCTCTCTAATTTCCCACCTTTCTAATGTAGCGTGTGGCACAGTTAATATTTTTGAAAATACTACCTCCTTTTCTTCAGTTTAGTTTCAAATCCCCTTAACTCATTCTTTAGGACCATCTTTTGTTCTGTGACTTTGTCTTTTGTACCAATATGGACGATGACAGCCAGGTCATCCCTGGCTCTTTCCAATAATCCACCCACTCTGTCAGCAACATGCCATACCC